GTAGTTAGGAGAGGGCCTGGCATATCATAAGCACTTTGGTGGTTTGGGCTACAATGTTTTATCCTTCTTGATAAAAACTCTGGAGCCTCGGGGGCACGTGAAACCTTCGGCTTCAGCATCAATTGTCCACATATATGAGTTTTAGCCAAACAGTCAAAGGCTGGTTTCCCCTGGACAGCAGATTCTCTATTCCCTGCCAATTTAACAGCAAAATTTGAGAGTGAAAATAATTTATAAAAGCAAAAATAGAAGTTAAAACTTCCCTGTTTTAAAACTGGGATTTTGTTACCTATAGAGTACTCGCCAGAGTCAGGACCTCCACCCACAACTGTGATCGAGACTCTGTCCCTGCTGCTCCCCACCCCTGGGCTGTTTCTCCCTCACAGTCAAAACTCAATACTCACCGGAAAAGCTTCACGGAAGAGGTTGTAGCCTGAGATTAGGGACAGGCCCATTTTTTCAGCATTGGGAGAATGGAGGTGGCTCAGGAGATAGTCAAAGGTCTGTTTGTTCCAGTCCCTGAAAGGATCACAAAGAGTCTGGGGCACCTAATGCCTTGAGCTTGACAGAAAAACCTTAGAAAGTCAGCTCACATTAGGGCTGGGATCGCCAAGCTAACAATCATAGAGGCTGGTAAGGATGTGTCTCAAACCCATAAATCCAAATCCCTAGAGGTTTTCCCTCTCCCAGGCTTTCCAATATTCCCCATCAATAGGATAGAGAAGGGGAAAAAAGGATGCTCCATTGTAATCACTTGGAATTCACCCTGCCTTGAGATCACATGGCTGATGAGTTTCAGTGAAGGCCTTAACCTGCCTTTGAGGACTGTGAGCCACCTGGATAAGTCTGCCTCAAGGCCCCCCTACTGTAAACACCTATGGCATACATCAGCTTGCTGCTCCCCAGAACTTTTCCTCTTCCCCTTGGGCACAACTCAACTACATTTTCTAGACTCTCTTGCAGCTAGGACATGGCCATGTGGCTTGGTTCTGAGGTGGATACAATGAATTCTAAAGACTCTGCACATGTGATCCTATGAGCTCCTTCCACAGTCACTGGTCCATGAGAATGATGACATTGAGGCAACCTTAGAAGCCATGTAGAAGGATGGCAAAGCCATGAGGGGGAAGAAGCCTACCAATTAGGAACATGGGTTTTGGAATTTACAGGCGTGCGAATTAGACTTCTGTTTGGGCCATTATTTATTGGGGGAGGGGTCATTTGTTAAAGCAGCTGGTGATAACTTCTTTGGTAAATCTGAGCACTAATCTGTCCACATAGAAGTTTCCTGGATTCACCAATGCATATAGGATTGACTATTACCCAGTTTAGGGAAGAATGGAGATAAAGCCTCCTACTGTACAGTATCTGGCAGAGTAGGGACTTATTATATGGGAGTATTTCCATGCTAGACCATAGCTTTCATAGAAGCCTGTTTTTAGTGATTGGAGCCCTGATGGGGAGCCCCCTTCTGCAGATTCAGTCCCATGGGCCTCCTAAGTTACCCTGTGTGACCCTCACTCACGCCTCCAGTGGATTTCTGGGATCAGAGAGGTAAGGCTGATAGAAGCCAGCAGCTACATCAGTGGTGGTGAGTGGGGTAAAGCGATCTGCATAGATCTTCATGTCCAGTGGCTGCAGGACTGAGTGGTAGTGCTCGTGGATGCAGAGGGCCGTGGACAGCCCAATGACTCCAGCTCCAATAACCACAACGCGCATTGTGCCAGCCTGTGGGAAGGAAATGTTGAGGCACACCACCATCACCATCATCATCTCTATCATCATCAACAGTCTTGTCACCACCTACTGAAGGCTGAAAAGTGCCAAGCCCAGGGCTGGGCATGGTGGCTCATGCCTGTGATTCCAGCACTCCCAAAAGCCAAGGCAGCGGATTGCTTGAACTCACGAGATTGAGACCAGCTTGAGCAAGAATGAGACCCCATCTCTATTTTATTTCATTTTATTTTATTTTTGCAGTTTTCGGCCAAGGGCTGGCTTTGAACCCACCACCTCTGGCATATGGGGTCAGCGCCCTACTCCTTTGAGCCACAGGTGCCGCCCGAGACCCCATCTCTAAAAAAAAACTAGCCAGGTGTTGTGCCTATAGCCCCAGCTACTCAGGAGGCTGAGGCAAGAGAATCACTTGAGCCCAAGAGTTTGAGGTTGCTGTGAGCTGTGATGCCACAGCACTCTACCAAGTGCAACAAAGTGAAACTCTGTCTTAAAACAAAACAAAAAGTGCCAAGCCCTTTCTGTAACTTGATTTTCCAATGACCCCAAGAGGTGGGAATTTTCATCTTTCCCACTTCACAAATGGAAATGAGGCATGGAAAGATGACCACGAGACTTGCCCAAGGTCACACAGCTGGCAAGCGACCATGAAAGGCCTAGTAGAGCACCTGCCCAGCTGAAGGCTGGGTAGCCTAAAAGTTAGGGCAAGGGGGGCTCTGACTTTACATCTCAGATCTAAGCTCTGCCACCTACTGGCCACTGACCTTGGCCAAAATGCTTCAGAGCTTTAACCTGTAATAACCCATAGTTAGAGCAGTGATTTTCAACCAGTGTGCAGTGAGAGGATCTTAGGTGTGCCACAAAAATTTTTAAAGATTATTAATTAAATTATTTTCAAAAGGACTTCAAAGCACAGTAAGTGTATATATATATTTATATATTTTTGGGGGGGTGGGGCCAGGTTTGAGCCCACCACCTCCAGTATATGGGGCCAGTGCCCTACTCCTTGAGCCACAGGTGCTGCCCCACAGTAAGTATATTTTTTAAATCAACCTAATGTAAGGGTACCATGAAAGTTTAGTTATAAGTTCTAGTGTGCTGTGAGATAAAAAA